GAAAAGGAAATTGCATTGTTCAAACAGTTCTGTATTTCAAAAAATTGCTAAAACTTAGGCTGGGAGGAACATGGTGACTAGAGCAAGAATTCAGTTACTGTATTTTTAAACTACCATATTTTTCGGACTATAAGACACACTGGTGTATAAGATGCACCAAGATTTCGAAGAGGTAAGCAAGAAAAAAAAAATTTTTTTTGCCCTCCCCAGCCCCCAGGAGCACGCTGCAGGCCTCCCAAACCCTCTGCACACTCTGTTTTTGTGAAAAATGGGTCCATTTTTTGCAAAAATGGGACGCATGGGGTGGGGCTTCGGGAGGCAAAAAATGGCTGTATTTGGTGTATAAGACACACCAACATTTCCACTCTCTTTTGGGGGGAGGGGAAATTGTGTCTTATACTCCGAATAGTACAGTATTTCAAGCCTAGTAGTTAGATGCTAATGTCATAACATGATTGAGACCAGTCCTCAAGAAATGAAATGGCAACCACTGTATTTACATATATCACTTTCTACGTTTTGTAGAGCTTCATAGCTGCTATACAAGAACATAAGAGTTGCACCTAAGAGAGTAAGAATAAAAGGGTAGACTATTTAGAATGCAGTAGATTAAGAACTGCCTTACTGAGGGAAGAATAAGAAATTATATGTAATTATATGCAAGAAATTACAGGTGAAACTCAAAAAATTAGAATATCGTGCAAAAGTTCATTTATTTCAGTAATGCAACTTAAAAGGTGAAACTAATATATGAGATAGACTCATTACATGCAAAGCGAGATAGTTCAAGCCTTGATCTGTCATAATTTTGATGATTATGGCTTACAGCTCATGAAAACCCCAAATTCATAATCTCAGAAAATTAGAATATTACGTGAAATCAATAAAACAAGGATTATACATAGAACAATATCGGACCTCTGAAAAGTATAAGCATGCATATGTACTCAGTACTTGGTTTGGGCCCCTTTTCATCAATTACTGCCTCAATGCGGCGTGGCATGGATGCTATCAGCCTGTGGCACTGCTGAGATGTTATGGAAGACCAGGATGCTTCAATAGCGGCCTTCAGCTCTTCTGCATTGTTCGGTCTCATGTCTCTCATCTTTCTCTTGGCAATGCCCCATAGATTCTCTATGGGGTTCAGGTCAGGCGAGTTTGCTGGCCAATCAAGTACAGTAATCCTATGGTCATTGAACCAGGTTTTGGTACTTTTGGCAGTATGGGCAGGTGCCAAGTCCTGCTGGAAAATGAAGTCAGCATCCCCATAAAGCTCGTCTGCGGAAGGAAGCATGAAGTGCTCCAAAATCTCCTGGTAGAAGGCTGTGTTGACCCTGGACTTAATGAAGCACAGTGGACCAACACCAGCAGATGACATGGCTCCCCAAATCAACACAGATTGTGCAAACTTCACACTGGACTTTAAGCATCTTGCAGTGTGTGCCTCTCCATTCTTCCTCCAGACTCTGGGGTCCTTGGTTTCCAAAGGAGATGCAAAAGTTGCTCTCATCAGAAAAGAGGACTTTGGACCACTGAGCTACAGACCAGTTCTTTTTGTCTTTAGCCCAGGTAAGACGCTTCTGACGTTGTTTGTTGTTCAGGAGCGGCTTGACAAGAGGAATACGACATTTGAAGCCCATGTCCAGGATCCGTCTGTGTGTGGTGGCTCTTGATGCACAGACTCCAGCCTCAGTCCACTCCTTGTGAAAGTCCCCAACACTTTTGAATGGCCTTTTCCTGACAATCCTCTCCAGGCTGCGGTCATCCCTGCTGCTTGTGCACCTTTTTCTTCCACACTTTTCCCTTCCACATAACTTTCTATTAATGTGCTTTGATACAGCACTTTGGGAACATCCAACTTCTTTTGCAATTACCTTTTGAGGCTTTCCCTCCTTATGGAGGGTGTCAATGATGGTTTTCTGCACAACTGTCAGGTCAGCAGTCTTTCCCATGATTGTGATTCCTACTGAACCAGACTGAGAGACCATTTAAAGGCTCAGGAACCCTTTGCAGGTGTTATGGTTTAATTAGCTGATTAGAGTGGGACACTTTGAGCCTAGAATATTGAACCTTTTCACAATATTCTAATTTTCTGAGATTGTGAATTTGGGGTTTTCATGAGCTGTAAGCCATAATCATCAAAAGTATGACAAATCAAGGCTTGAACTATCTCACTTTGCATGTAATGAGTCTATCTCATATATTAGTTTCACCTTTTAAATTGCATTACTGAAATAAATGAACTTTTGCACGATATTCTAATTTTTCGAGTTTCACCTGTATATGTAAATAGAAAGCATAAACAACAGAAATAAAAATGTACTAAATAACTAAATAGGTTTTCCCTACTCCAGATAATATTTACAAATTGTCTCTTTCCCACCCACATTTGTAAACAGGACAACAGTCATGCATAATAAATGGAGATATTCTCTGAATGAAATGGGAAAGATGGAATAAAGTGGTGTGTTGATACTATGCTTGACCTTAGCCAAAAGGCTGATAATTGGATATTAACAATTGCTTAGCTCCATTTATTCATAGAAAACATATTTAGGATTTGATCAGGTAACCTTCTTCCGTTTCCATTGGGAAACTCATCCCAAACTAGATTTGGAGTAAAGAATAGTGGCTATGGACCCTGAATCAACTAAATAAGAAGATTAAAAGACACCCACACCATATACAACTTGTCATATATCTTCACAAGTTGTTTTTTTCCTAACCTGAATTTAAGTGTCAGCATCTTTTCTGAACTTTCGACCAAATTGGTCTGTTTGTTAATCTAAATCAAAAACCAAGTAAGATGCTTCAGTCTTATCACAGAAACTCTACTGCAAAGAAACCTAAGCTTATGTGCTCAAATACAGCAAGTTTTAAAAGTGCAATTCTACACTCTGGTTGCCAGGCCTCCTTTCTCTGTAATTTGTCCTGCTGATAAAAAACACTCCCCAGGGAAGCTTCTGGTATCAAACTCTTTCTACCTTATTTGAGAGAATTAAGGCCCTTGAGGGACAGGGATTCATCAACAACTCTTCTGCCTAATTAAGTAGCAGTTTGATAGATGTGACAAGGACTCCCATTCAGCTCTTAACTGAAATGATGATATCTAAAATACACCGCTCTTAAAAACAGCTACAGGTTTTTAAAAAGGGTCTGGAAGTCATGGCGAAAGATGTCTCCCCCACCATCTCCTTTTCTGCCTTAAAATGAAAAGCACAATCATACAAGTAATCTATTCAAACAATAGATTACAGAGAAAAGGTTAGGTCAAAGAAAAAAAATGGTATTCTTGTGTGCTATTTATTCATTTCTTGCAATATTATTGCATGCAATTTGCACTTCAGGCTGGTAAGTTATAAATCAAAGATAGAACTATTAAGTTTGTTGTGCTATTTCTTGTTATTTGAAAAACAATGAAGGAATTAGCAAGGTGACTAATTTCCAAATATTGATCTACTCTAGGTTTGCTCATTGTGAACTAGGTATCACAATGCCATGCAAAACATGTTTACTATTATTTAAAAGTAAGGGGTTCTATATTAATAACACCTTTTTTTTCTCCCTCACACACAATAGTCTTTGGATGAATAGATGAAAGGAAAGAAGCAACTGTTCAATTGAATTCAATTGTTCAATAGAACATATTGCTCTTGTGCTTCCATGCTAGATGTACTTGAAAAAAACTTTTAAGCATTAAATTAATACACCTAAGGTTCAGCAATTCACAGAACAGAAGAAACAGAAGCACACCATTTTGTTCAAAAAGAATGAACCATCATACTGCAGATAGGCTAAATTAGAATTAAAGAAAAATATTTATGTTTTTAATGGTTTTATCTGGGAAAAGAGCAAGCTTATTTAAGGTAAGAAAATATAAAGAGAATATAAAGACAGAATTACTAAATGGGCTGGATCCAGACTTTGATTCTCCTGGCATGGCCATCATTGAAGCAGAATTCTCCTAGGGAAAGTTTCCATCAAGAAGCCTGTGCTTCCTAAATCTCCCCAAAGAGTTGGAGAAGGCTGTCAAAGTTGTCTCCTTCCCTTCCGCTCAGATAATTCCTAGGCTAATTCTAAGGTTTTCCATAGATTGGAGCCTTTACATTTGCAGAACAAAGTCCACATCAGGTCCAATGTTATTCTATAGGCATTAGGCAACATTCAAAGTTATTTAACAATTTGGATTCTGCAACTAAAAGTTGTATGTAACTTACCTCTAATCTTGCTGCTGTTTCTTAACAAGTTTTCTAACATGAATGCATCAACATTTCTTAAAATTATGATATTTTAAGACTAAATTTACTTCCCCAATATGATATGATTTAGACGATAGTAATTTCTTACACCTGGGAACACTGATTATTTACCCTTGCTCTGAAAGTATACTCATTTGTGAAAAATCAAACAATTTGTTACAAGAACAATCTAGAATAATTTTACTTCGAAGTAAAATACTTTGCTCGGTGGGATTTAATCCTTGGTTAGCCTACATAAGATTATAGGCATCATGCTGTATAATCTGCATTTCATTGCATTTCTTTGAGATACTATCATTTATTTCAAATGTTGTTTTCAAGATTTGTAACTGAATAAAATACAAATCCCAGTACATTTTGAATTTTGTGCCTAGACCTGATGGCAAAAATAAAATAAAATAAAATAAATAAATAAATAAAATAGAGGGAAAGTACTGTTTCTGAGCACAAAAAAGTCTGACTACATAGCTTTAGTTTGCAGCATGCTTGGAAAATAAAAAACACTTTGTGTTTCTTATTTCTAAGAAACTTTCTAAGCCTCCTGTTTAGAAATTCCTTTGGTTGTGTCACTGCATAAGGTTTCAAAATCTTGGTTCTGCCCACTATGATTGAAATAAGTGAAGATAAGTGGAGGATGTATAGCCAAAACCATATGCATTAACCGAGAAGGTTGCCAATATGTGCAACAGAAGAAGAGGGATTTCAACTTTTAGCAAAGACTTCTGACAAGGTAGTACACACCTTAGGAGAAGAGGAAAGCTCTTTCACTGCATGAATAGCTGACATGTTCTCACTTGCTTCTCTTTCTACCTTAGGTGAGAGAATTGGTGGTTCCGGAGCTTTTCTTTTCATCTTCCTTTCTGTTTCTTGCACTGAAGTAACTTGATCATTTAAAGTCGAACTTGCTTTGGGTTCATAAAAGGGATTGGATCTAATTGAAAGAAGGGAAACAAATTTATTGCTATCTCGGTATTTTTAGTGCCATTCCGGAAAATAATTAGTTTGTACCAAATTGAAACCAATGTAGTTTAATTTTAAAAAAGACATACATAGAGAAAAAAGACCTGCTCATTATGCTACTAGTTCCCCTGCCCCAAATAAACTGATGAGTGACATGTTTGTGTAGTTAGGTACAAATAATGCCTTAGGTCAAGAAATCTGTGGTCACCGTTTTTTTAAAAAAACTTTATTGGGAGTAAAATGGATTCATAGAGGCTTTATATATATTAAGTAGCACCACTTATTTCTGAAGGCTGAGATTTAATGCAGTAAAAATAATAGTTTTCTAACTCTTCATTTTATTTGTATCAATCAAGATAATATAAATTGATAATGCTGACTATACCAACATAAAGCCTCCTTTTTTGTTCAAATGTTGTCTAGCATACAAAGCCTGTAAAAGGAAAAGCAACATTGGGATGAATTTTCAAATTTAGCAAGTTAGCTACTCTAGCAATTTGACAAGGAATATACAATTTATATATACAGTCTATAATTTTTTTTAGAGATTGGAGATCTCTAAACAGCAAATACTGTTTACTGGAATCCCAAGTTGTCTTAAGCAAACAACAACAATAACCCAACTTTATGAATGGATATTTCCTAAAATCATGTACTTATAGTGTCTTTGTTCACAACTCATTCTGTTATAACCCAGAGAGAAGATGTATACATGAGGTACTTAATCATTTCATGAATTATCATATTTCTTGCATCAAAGTTCTTGATTAAAATAAAATAAAAATTGGGGGGGGGTTATACCTTTGATTTTGAATCAGGTTATAAAAGTCTGGTTTAGAATATTGATATTTGCTCCCAAGTAGGTATCTGAACACAGAGAGGACACTATTAAATCTGTAGAAATTACATTTTTTTTCTTCCTGATCAAGTTAGTACATTCCAAGCAAAACACTGGCCTGCAGCTATTCTCCATGTTTATTTCTGATAATATTCCAGAGAGTATCCAAAAGCATTCTTTGGAATTAAAGCCAATACCATTGGCTGATACTTTCCTTTCAAGCATAGAGCTGATAGATAGATAGATAGATAGATAGATAGATAGATAGATAGATAGATATGATAGATAGATGATAGATAGATAGATAGATAGATAGATAGATAGATAGATAGATAGATAGATAGATAGATAGAGAAACAAACAGAATTAAAAACCCAGGTTGAAGAAGAAGCCTGGCAGGTGCCAAGGAAGGTTCTGAAAGCACATGGTGTCCCTGCCAGAGACTCCAGATAGACAGTATTTCAGAATTTGGATTTAAATCCACTACTGTGTTTATAGAAAAGCCTTTGAAGCAGCCTAAGCTTCTTTAAACAAAAAACAAAAAAGGTCATTTTGATGGATTATTTTGTCCCTCCACTCATGCAAATCTGATCCAGAGAACTGAGAACTTTGTAGAAAATTCTTTCAGTAGCTGCACTGTTTTAGAAGAGGCTTTAGTAATCTCTATAAACGATCATTTGGAATTTTATTTTCAGAGCATTTTGAACAATTTATGAGTCTAAAATTGTATCCTCCTTTAATGATATAATTTGAATTTATGGAATTCCATTTTCAAGAGATCCATATGTTGCTAAACACATTCACTGAGATCTTGGCCTGCAGTTTGGATAGTTTTCTAACAGATTACCTTTTAATTGTATGATTTTGGATTTATATTTATTTTCTCTAGCAAGCAAATAATTAATTTTATTGTTGTTGTTCTCCTAATTCAATCTCAAAAGCACTCTGAATGGTTTGGATTTTGAGTTAGATAAGTAGGATATAAATAAGGATGTTAATGCATTTACTACCACCCTGTGGCTTGCAATTTCTTTTGTAACCAGGAAGAACCATCCATTGGAACAAATCTATAGTAAGTAATTCTATGAGGAGTCAAGTTTGCTAATTATATAATTAGATTTCTGGAAAAAGAGGAAAGGCTTTAAAGCAAATATAAAACCTAACTGCATTCATAAACTACTGTACAGCAGAGTTGTTTTGTCATTGTTTATTACAGACAGAAGATGTGGATCTAGTTGAACGAAAGAAATAATTGAGAGGAAAATAACCAGGTTGCAAAGTGAACGCACCTTTGAGGTGTTCTCACTTCAGTGCTCGCCAAATGCAAAAAACATAAACAAAATCAAAGCTCAGAGTGATGGCAAAATAAACAATGGAGACTTGCATGACAAAAGGCAAAGGTAGAAAATGAATGGCACTCCATTTAGAAGAGAAAACTCAAGAATGTCTGTCAATCATTTAATTTTGCTAACAAGCTTGTTAAGCTGTCCTCAAACAGAGGAAATTCAAAGCAGGGTGAAATTAATGATGAGAAAAGATAAGAACAATGCATTATACATGGGATGTTACAGAGTTTTCTTTTGTTCTAAAAGTTATTTTTGTGTGGACATTTAACAAACACAGCATGTTTTGATAGCAAACTATCTGACCCCCTACGGCCTTGGAAACAAAGATTCAACATCTGTCAGAGATTACTCTATATCTAATGTTAAGTGAGTAATGAGTAAGCTGCTCACAGTTACAGGATCTTCTTTCCTATCTTTTGCACATGCGCATATTTATTTGTAAGAAAATAAACTTTTCCTAAGTTTCTTAAAAACTTCTCAGAAGTTTTAAATATGTGACAAATATTTCCATATCTCACCCACATTTAAGTTAGTTCATTTTAAATACAACCTAGAAACACACTCAATTTAGTATTATCATATATGAAACCTAGTTTCTCAAAAGGTGTTCAAAATATATTTTAGTAATTACCTAAGTCCTTAATGTTTAAATAATTTATTTATTCTGGGTTGTTCCTGCATAAGAGATGCCCTCTTCATCCAAGATTATGCTTCAGTTATTTAAGAAGAAATACTCTTGTCCAGAAATTTGTGCAACTGTGCAAAATGTGATCATGACTTTCACTAAATTATATTTATGCTAAGCTCATGTGACTAGTTAATTGTGAAGAAAAAAGTATGAACTTGAGCTAAGATATGCACAAAATAGTAAAAGCAGTATTAAAATATATTATTTTCCCAGATCTTTACTTGTTCTGGAAAGTAAGGGCAATTTGAGTAGAATTTCACACGGAAGCATCTTCAGACAACACTGGTTCCCTTGGCTAGAAAATGGAGATGAGCACCGCCCTCTAGAATCGGACAGGACTGGACAGGGGAACCCTTTATCTTTTTTGAAATGTTACTAATAGTCCTTACTTTATAACCAGCTGTTCAATGAAAGTTACAAACGCCTCTGAAAGAGTCTTCACAGCCCCTGAAGCACTTCCGGCCACTGTAAAACATCACACACACACCTGGCACTACAGTCACATTAACATATTTTGAGCGCTTGGCAATTGGCCCACATTTACTATTGGTTGTAGCTTCCCATGATCACATGACTGTAATCAATTATTACAATGCTTTTTGTCTGTTTCTAGCTGTTTTTGCTAGTTTCCGGGGGAAAAATATTGATTTGGGAAAATGGATCATGTGCCTCACTTAAGAACCACATAATTCGGACTTATGAGACTGTGGTTTGCTTAACAACCACTGTAATAATGGTAAAAAAATTGGATCTGGTCATGTGGGTGCCTCAACCTACAACCACGACAACTTACAACAAAATATTCTGGTCCCAACTGTGATTGGAAGTCAAGGACTATTTACAAACCCCTACATTTTTGGTAAATAAAAACTAGGAAAATAAAACTGTACTCCCTGGGAGCTGAATATGGCAAAAAGAATGCTAGGGGATGGGGAAGATAAGTCAAACAAATTTTGCTCTCTCTTGTGGAAAAACCTTTGGTAGAGATCTCTGGAATCATGATGAACCACTTATGTACATTTAATATATTTGCTTTCTGAACAAGCTGTAATGAAGGAAAACCTAAAGAGGGTAAAAGCTCAATACATGCACCTAAAGGTACAATGACATCCCTTCAAGATAATGCCTGTTTTTACATTTTCTGATTTAATCTGATTTACAGAAGCTGGTTTAAAAAGTTTGGTTCAGAAGATAAAAACTAATGTGACTTAATGGCAAATTCTCAAATCACATAGGAGCCAATACAGAGGGCAAAACTATGGAATTTTAAGTTAAAGCGTTTACCACAGAGAAAACAGAAATACTAATTTAAAATGTCTTTACAATACTGATACTACCTTCTCATCTGTATTGCAAAAGACCAAGAAATGTTTTTGCAGTAATGAAGGTTTGTGACCACCAAAAATAGTTGTAATGTCTTAGTAGGCACAATTATTAGTTTTGACAGAAAATAGTCTTATTGGTAACAGATTACTTGTTTAAAAATCTGTACAGAATTGCAAGCGCAGCTAAGTTTCTTTTAAAACTTGACAGAGGCACTGAGTGAACAATACAGATAGTCTTTGACTTATAACCATTAGTTTAATGCAGCTGGGGAATTCTGGGAGTTGAAGTCTTCCAGGCTTAAAGTTGCCAAGGTTGGAGACCCCTGGTTTATTGACTATTACAATGGCACTGAAAAAAGTGTCTTATGACTGGTCTTCATGACCATTACCTTATGACTAGTGCAACAATTCCATGTGTTCAAAATTTGGGTGCTTGGCAACTGAGATGTATTTGTATATGATGACTGCAGTACCCTGGGGTCATGTGATTACCACTTATGACCTTACCAACCTGTTACCAACAAGCAAAGTAATGGGGGAAGCCAGATTCACTGGCTTGAATCACAACTGCACGATTCACTTAACAACTGCAGTGATTTGCTTAACAACTGTGGCAAAAATGGTTGTAAAACTGAGTGTGATTCACTTAACAACTTCCTTACTTGACAATAAAAATTCTGGTCCTAATAATGGGCGTAGGTCAAGGACTATTTATAGAGAAATTGAGAACTTGGAACATGATGCGGGGAACAGAACTCTTGAAAATTTGTCCCA